ATCACCCCAAAATCCTGATATGCCACACGTCCCACGGCTGAGCCAGTCGTTGTCATGTAACATTTGTGGGGTTGCATGCTGCTGTTCGAGCTGCATTAATTACTCAGTATTTAACTTAATAAATAAATCATGAAATTGACTGAGCCGGTCGTTTTGATGTAACGTTTGTGCCTGTAGTCAGGTCCCTTAAATATGCTAAAGCTAATATGTCCCATGTCTTATTTATGACTTGTTTTTGTGTTTTCGTAAACACGCTGGAGTCATAAACTTCTTAAAACGCCTCCACATAGAAATTTTCTCCAGGCGTGTGACAGTTTTTGGAGCGTCTTCTAGGTAGCTGAGGTCGTCATCGAGTGAAGTGTCATCTGTGTGGAGACACCTGATGGCTTCTGGCGTTTCTGCGCAGATTTCAGTAGGAGAACAAACTTCTGTTTCCGTCTGACAGCTGTAGTCGGGATTTTCTGAATCTTGTTCCAGTCCCAACATCAGATCGGTGCCCACAGACGTCTCAGGACAGGGCTGAAACTCACAGCTTAGACGATGAAGTTGCTGGTTGAGGATTTCTAAATCTGTTTCATGTTTCTCCTTAGCCTGTATCTGATCCAGCTGAAGGTTAACAATTATGGATTGGAGGTTTGTCTCGGTTTCCTGCATTGTTCTCAGCTTGGAGACGAGTTCTTCGTTTAGTCTGGCTGTCTCCTTACTTTGGATCAACTCGGACTCTAAACTCTGTCTAATCTCCGTCTCTTTCCCAAGCTGCTCTTCTAGTTTTTGCAGATCTTGAATAAAAGTCAATTCTGAACTGACTTTCTCAGAGTTGCTTTTTTCCATCAAATCTCTGAGTTCAGAGTTCCTGTCTGTCAAATCCTGGATCTCCTGCTTCAGATCTGAATTCTCGGTGATCAGAATTCTGGTTTTGTCTAGTTCTGCTTCAAAGTCATGTCTCAGCTGCTGTTCCTTGTCAAATTTAGATGTTAGTTCCTCACAGAGAAGGGATTTTCTCTCCAGCTGATGTGTGACACCTGCCAACTTCTCTTTGTGGACGGTGGCTTGGTCCTGCTGCTCTTGTAATTTGTTTAGCAGAGTTTCACACAAAGCGTCCTTCTCTTGAAGCTGGATTTGTAAATCTTTTATAGCTTTTTGACAGGTTTCAGTTGTAAGCTGGTAATGATCCCGTCCCTGTTTCAGCTGATCAATTTCCGTCTTTAATTTGTTGGCTGACTCTTCGTTCTGCCTTCTCTCCTGTTCTAACAGGAGTCTGTTCTCTGATTCCTGGCTAAAACGTTTTTGCAGATCTGCAAACAAAACGTCTTTTTCTTCAAGCTGTTCCTTCAACGTCTGGATCGATTTTTCCTGGGTTTCTGTTGTACTTTGGTAGAAATCCAGACCTTGTTCTAGGTGAGTAATTACTGTTATGAAGGACTTGCGTTCATTTTCCGCTGCTTTTCTTCTTTCCTTCTCAGCACTGAACAATTCATCCATGATTGACAACTGAGACTCCAAATCTTTTATCTTCATCTTGAGAAAAGCTATGTTTTTTTGTTGATTACAGCCACAATTTTTCTGCTGGACTGTCCCAGATGGAGTCATTCGCTGTTGATGAAGCATTATTTCAGACTTTTGTTGATTGTCTGTCAGTCTCAGAATAAATTCTTGCGTTGCACAAAGAGATTCTTGCGTGTCGGAGAGAAGATCGAGAATGATGCGTGTCTCACCAGTGGCTGGTCACTAATGAGTTGAGCTGTGTCTGTGGAACCTAAGAGGGTGTGATGATGCAGTGATGTCATAAAGTAGTCATGTGATCGGGTAGTAGTAGTTACTTCCCTTTCCTCCCCCTTTACCTTTTTTTCTCCTTTTTTTCCCTTTTTTTCCTTTTATCTTTGTTCTTTTTGTGCTGTGTGCTGTTACTTCTCTAAGCATTTTGAGTTACCATGGCAACATTATTAACAACAAACATCTAAAATGTTTTCATACTGATTGCATGAAAGTCTCAAATTGCATAATGAATAAACTAATTTGTATAAAAATAATTAATTTTCATTAAGTATGTTCAAAAGGCAGCGTGCAACCCCACACACGTTACATCAAAACGACCGGCTCGGCTGTGGGAAGTGTGGTATATCATGATTTTTGGGTCATCACCCAAATGCCACCCGAAAGTCATGGTTTTATGTGTAACCACCCTATTGTCACACCAAATTTGGGTCATCGGCACAATACCACGATTTTGGAGTCATCACTTTCATAACATATGGTCACTATCTTTTGCCAGCAGTTTTTAATTATTTCAAAAATTTTCTAGTTTATTTCTTTCTCCTTAAAGCTAACAATTTAGACACATTGTTAGAGGTATCCATGTTTTTCTACTTAATTTATTAAAATGAATTCTGTTATTTAGTTAGGTAATTTTTAATATATTGTTTTTATATGTTTATTTCCATGCCTCCATTGTTGAGGCGGCCGACCGGAGCTGTGGTCGCAGAATCGTCGGTGCATGTCGCGGTGGCAATCCCCGAACTCGCTGGTGGACACCGGCGGTTAGGGATGCTGTCAAGCTGAAGAAAGAGTCCTATGAGGTCTTTTTGGCCTGTGGGACTCCAGAGGCAGCTGACGGGTGCCGGCAGTCCAAGCGGAACATGGCTCGGGTGGTCGCCGAGGAAAAAACCCGGGCATGGGAGGAGTTCGGAGAGACCATGGAGCAAGATTTCTGTACGGCTTCGAGGAGATTCTCGTCCACCATCCGGCGCCTCAGGGGGGGGGGAAAGCAGTGTGCTACCAACACTATCTATAGTGGGGACGGTGTGCTGCTGATCTCTACTCAGGACATTGTGGATCAGTGTGCAGAATACTTCTAAGACCTCCTCAATCCCACCGACACGTCTTCCAGTGAGGAAGCAGCGTCTGGGAACTTTGGGCTGGCCTCTCAAATCTCTGGTGTTGAGGTCACTGAGGTGGTTAAAAAGCTCCTCTGTGGCAAAGCTCCAGGGGTGGATGAGATCCGCCCGGAGTTCCTAAAGACTCTGGATGTTGTGGGGCTGTGTTGGCTTACATGGCTCTGCAATATCGCGTGGACATCGGGGGCAGTCCCACTGGACTGGCAGACCGAGGTGGTGGTTCCCTTATTCATGGATGTAATTTTGGGGGGGGGGGGACAGGGGGGACATGTCCCCCCCCCCCCCACTTTTTCCAAAATCAAGTTTTGATCCCTGCACTTTTTACCATCCAAAAACAATATTACGCTGTATTAAATTGACAGTGGTTGAGCTCTAGGAACAAGCGGAAAACAACCATTTGTGTTGAAGCCTGTTTCCCATTAGAACATACTGTAAAGATACCCCCCCCCCCCCCCCCCCCCGTGTCCCCCCCACTTCTAAAGTGAAAATTACGTCCATGGATGGCAGGTACCCTTTACTCTGGATAAACTCGCTGTGTTAGATGGATAAGTGGAAGCTGACCTTCTGATTTGCTGAACACACATTACACACATTAGATTTTATGAGTCTGTTAGATTTGGGTGGGCATCATAAAATAAAACAACATTAAATCATAAACAACCTCACAGGTTCTGAGAAGCTCAGAAGAGTCAGAGTTCAATTATAAATGAAAACCAATTTTTATTTCTGTTTTCTGTGTGAGTCTGATAGAGCCGACTTTTATTTATGATGTTTGTGGCTGCTGGGAGTCCACACCCCGCCAGCATTAAGCTCTTCATTTAACAAAACTTCTCAAAGCCAATTAGGAGACCCTGGACCCTCCATCTAATCACTCTTCCTCCTCCTCCTCACCATTATCCTCCTCAGTGGACCACATTTGTTCGGACTGATCCGTCCGGTCGATACGGACCATTTTCAGCTCCACTCAGATCCTCCAGACACCCTCATTAAATAATCATAAATAAACATAATTATCAGGCTCGACACTCAGCTGGAGGAACAGCTCTTAAAGCAGCAGGTGATGTTAAACAAAAGAACAAGATTACGGACCGAACGTTTTGTCCGGTCCAGCTAATCCTCCTCTTGGCTCTGTCGGGAAAACGGGTCCCTGCGTAAAGGAGCCGTTCTAGGAAGAGGATTTATTCTACTCCTCATAAAGATAAAAGTCTTTATCTGAATAAAGTCTTCACAGGCTGACTGACGTCTCTAGGTGTTGATGCAGATAAACCCGCGCCGTGGAGATACTGGCGCTCCGAACGGACCGCTCTGAACCCAACTCATCCTCTCTCTGGAGTCTTAATGAGACCCTGGAGTTTTATGTCAATCCTATTATTTGCTTAATTGCATTCCCAACCAGGAGAGTTAAGGAAATGGATCATCCTTTCAGAATAAAAGCACCTTCAGTCACCGGGCCCTCGCACCTCATCTCTGATGGATCTGATTTTATTTCTCCAGACCTAAGACTTCTGATTGATTTTGTTTCTATTTTAAAATTCATTTGTTTCCCAGCTACTAGACAGAACTACGGCAGCAAAGTCTGAATACAAGAGGTTTTAAAACCCCTCAGATGCCACGTTTAGAATATTTACATTAAATATTGGGAAACTACAATAATCAAACCAGGTAAACGTCCAGATCTTCATAAAAGACCCGCCATTATTCTGCCTCTGGTGGATCAGACGTTTGTTTGTTTTTGTTTTTTTAACATAAAAACTCTTTTTCAATATGTCCTTTTCTAATTAGATCATTAATAGAATTTGCAATTAGTTTCCATTTTGCCTATGAAAACAATTTTGACACTTTGCTTTTATTTTGTCGTGTTTCCAGCATGATTCTGAAGCCTAAACTCACATCTAGAGACTCGACTGAAACATATGCACCAGGAGAGTATGACAAGCAAACGCTACAGGAAAAATACCCCTGTGGGTTTCTGTAAAAGCGTCACTAGTGCCACCTGCTGGTGTGGGCTAAAAAAAGGTAAGTGAAGTCATCTTAAAACGTTATCTCTGGACACTTGAGCTTTAATTAAAAAAGTTGGGGCGGTTTCTGAGCGGTGTGTGGTCTTACCGCCAGTGTCGCCATTGTGGTAGTTTGGGTCGAATCCTCTCTCCAGCAGCTTCGCTACTTTGTCGGCCTGATTATGCTGAACGAAGTCCATGAACTTCCTTAGATTAGCCTGCAGACACCAGATTAAACAAATACTGAATCACAATGGGTTCTAAGGGAGGTGTCCTGTGACTTTAATAAGGAATAAAATGGATTTTAAAGGGTCAAATGTGATAATAAAAAGTAGAATATGAAAAAGTAGAATATGAAAAGACCCAGATAGAACAGAAGGGGAAGTGAAAGGAGGCGACAGGACTGGTGATCGTAAAGAGAAGAGCGGCTCCATCTACTTTCTTTCCAGGCCGAAGGATAAAAATAGATAAGAGAGCAGCTCCCTGAAGGAGGAGGAGGAGAGCAAATGAGGAAAGAAGAATGGAGGAGGAGGAGAGGGAGACGACGACTGGAAAGAGTAAAAGATCTGAAAGACGAGCTGCGATAGAAGGTAAATGAGTTAAAACACAGGTGGTGAATAAAGGTACATCAGCTGGATTCATTCACTCACACCTCATTAATGTTTTCATCTGGAACGGGATTCTGGCTGTAAACTAAGCTAATCAGTCAGGAACAGATTTCAACCAAACAAATAAAAATGCTGCTGATTCACTAAAACTTTTCATCTTTTTAATTAATAAGTTTTGTAAAAACAAACATTTCTAAATTTAGTTGGTTCAACACTATTAAAATCCAGTTAGAGGGAAAATACTTTATAGTCAACTTGATTCTTCAATCCTAACTTCAGTCGTTTAGGTCAAACCAGCTGTTAGCTTAGAGAGAACAACTGAGTTTTATAACACGAGTTATGAATCAGTTTGATTGAAATCCAGTTAAAACGACAAGTACACAGGAATAGGAACTACACACACACACACACACACACACACACACCCATATATATATATATATATATATATATATATACACACACACACACACATCTACAGTGGGGCAAAAAAGTATTTAGTCAGCCACCGATTGTGCAAGTTCTCCCACTTAAAATGATGACAGAGGTCAGTAATTTTCATCATAGGTACACTTCAACTGTGAGAGATAGAATGTGAAAAAAAAATCCATGAATTCACATGGTAGGATTTTTAAAGAATTTATTTGTAAATCAGGATGGAAAATAAGTATTTGGTCACTTCAAACAAGGAAAATCTCTGGCTCTCACAGACCTGTAACGTCTTCTTTAAGAAGCTTTTCTGTCCTCCACTCGTTACCTGTATTAATGGCACCTGTTTGAACTCATTATCTGTATAAAAAACACCTGTCCACAGCCTCAAACAGTCAGACTCCAAACTCCACTATGGCCAAGACCAAAGAGCTTTCGAAGGACACCAGGAAAAGAATTGTAGACCTGCACCAGACTGGGAAGAGTGAATCTACAATAGGCAAGCAGCTTGGTGTGAAAAAATCAACTGTGGGAGCAATTATCAGAAAAAGGAAGACATACAAGACCACTGATAATCTCCCTCGATCTGGGGCTCCACGCAAGATCTCATCCCGTGGGGTCAAAATGATCATGAGAACGGTGAGCAAGAATCCCAGAACCACACGGGGGGACCTGGTGAATGACCTGCAGAGAGCTGGGACCACAGTAACAAAGGTCACCATCAGTAACACACTACAACGGCAGGGAATCAAATCCTGCAGTGCCAGGCGTGTTCCGCTGCTGAAGCCAGTGCATGTCCAGGCCCGTCTGAAGTTTGCCAGAGAGCACATGGATGATACAGCAGAGGATTGGGAGAATGTCATGTGGTCAGATGAAACCAAAGTAGAACTTTTTGGTACGAACTCAACTCGTCGTGTTTGGAGGAAGAAGAATACTGAGTTGCATCCCAAGAACACCATACCTACTGTGACCGACCGACTGACCGACCTACCTACCTACCTACCGACCTATCTATCTAGACACCCAAAGACACTTTTCACACACTCTCACATTCACACACTGCTAGTGATGGTAAGCTACTTGTAGCCACAGCCGCCCTGGGGAGGTCTGACAGAGGCGAGGCTGCCATTTGGTGCCATCGGCCCCTCTGACCACCACTAACACAGGCAAGTTGGGTGAAGTGTCTTGCCCAAGGACACAATAGCAGGATACCCCTGGCGGGAGCTGGAATCGATCCCATGACCCTCCGATCATGAGGCAACCCGCTCTACCACCTGAGCTACTGCTATCTATCTATCTATCTATCTATCTATCTATCTATCTATCTATCTATCTATCTATCTATCTATCTATCTATCTATCTATCTATCTACACATCTATCTATCTATCTACACATCTATCTATCTATCTACACATCTATCTATCTATCTACACATCTATCTACACATCTATCTATCTATCTACACATCTATCTACACATCTATCTATCTATCTACATATCTATCTACACATCTATCTATCTATCTACACATCTATCTATCTATCTACATATCTATCTACACATCTATCTATCTATCTATCTATCTACACATCTATCTATAAGTCTGTCTGTCTGTCTATATACATAAATATATGTACAACGTACAGGGAAAGTCTGCTTATGGGCTCGACACACGGGAGGTGACAAACGAGCGCGATTAGCGAAATTTGTCGCTGTCGCTTTTTTTACCTGACACATGGGAGGCGATCCGCGGCAGCGGCCAGCGGCAAAGCCGTCTACGCGTTCTGTTCCATGGTGAAATTGAAACTTCCGTTGTTTTGTTTGGCTGTGTCAGGTTGGAGGGAATTAAGGTTATTTAAGCGGTTCAGAGTTAATAAAGCGGTAGATATGATGTTTCACAAGGTGCTGTTAGAGTTATGTGAAATCTTACTTCTGATTTTACTATATAAAACATAATTATAATCAACTTCTCCTCCATGTTTGCTCGGAGGTGTACGGAGCATCCTGTCCGCTCATTGGTCAGTGAATGAAACCTCCGTTGATTGGTCCTCATCCGAGCGACAGCGATGAAAAGTTGAAAATGTTTCAACTTTCTGGGATCGCATCGCTGGGTCGCCTGTGCACGACACGTGCACGAGTGCAAAATTTCACACGCACGTTTTTCGCGTTTCACTTGGTAGGAGGGAGACCCGCGATTATCGCTTTGTCATGTCTCATTGAAAATGAATGGAGGAGAGGCGATGTCGCCTCCCGTGTGTCGAGCCCATTACTGTTCACTAAATATACAACTCAGAAAAAAAAGGTTTTGTTAGCAAATTTCCAAGTACTATGTACTTGTTTGTCTCAGTTATACTAAACTGCATTTAAGGGTATTTAACTTTAGCACCAATACATAACTGCCTACTCCCATGTACTTATTTCAAAGGGCAAATCTTATACCCCCACACTTCCCCCACTTCCTATGTACCTTAGACCAGATTTTTATGCTTAAAAGGTACAAAGCCACCAATATATGTCAAAAACTGGACACCATTTTATTCATTTTCAACGTTTCGACTGACATTTCCAGGGATTAACGGGTAAAAACACACATGGTCTCTTTACTGTTGTTTTAACTCCTAAACTGCTACCAGATATTTAGAAAGCTAACTCATCCTAATGCAGATTAGGATTCATTTTTTTAATCATATCAATAAACACATGCAGAGTGTCATAACTAAATATAGTTTTAATTGATTGTTTAAGTACAAACAGTGACTCAGCACATACAGACAGCTGTTTAAATCCCCTTCCCGATGACTCATGCCTGTTCAATATCTGGAAATGTCAGGGGGATTGTGTTCGTGGCCCAGGGTCCCTGAGTCGTGGTTTATTTAACGTATCAGGTACAGAATGTCCTCAGGGGGTTGCTGTGTCTCCAGGCCTTGTTACTTAGACTCTGGGGGAAAGTGTCATCTCTTCTCTGCCTCTTTACCGAAACAAGACTGGACACCAGTTATTTAAGCTGAGCACAAAACAACAGGCTACCCGGCAAACGGGGTCGTCTCCAGAAACGTTCAGCTGAGACAAATAATTACCTGCAACAGGCAGAAATAACTCAAAAAACTCCTTTTTCTGAGGAATAACTTTAGGACGGATGAGTATTTATAATCTGGTCCGAGCTCCATATTGATGAGCATTCTGTTTCTCCTCCTAGTTGTTTTCTTTCTGCCATTTCCTCCCTCCTGCACTGGAATGTAGAATTAGAGCTGCTGTCAGACGTTTTTACCAGTGTCCTGGTGGGAGAGAGCTGCCAGAGACGTTTATGCTTCAGCGACAAAACAGGACTACAGCACGGCAGCAGCTCACAGGTGGCCTCAATCAGACAAAACCCAAACTTACTGCAGGTTTTCGTTTATGTGGAACGGGCAGAGGCAGGTTCAGGGAGAGGCGTACTGAGAAAAAAAAAAGATTACGGTTAAGGGTAAATTTGCACGAGTCCTAACTGACGGGTGAGATGAAATTAGAGAAGATTCTGATAAAACCAGGAAGCCTCGCGGAGAAAATGTGATTCTTTGGTTTTGGCAGCACTAGATGGTGTGAAGCAGTCATCTCTGTGGCGTTCTCGCTGCACTTCTGAGTCTGACTGACGTGGGAGGAAGTGAAACTTTTTTTCCCTACAGTTTCTTTTGTACGTCTGGCTGCTTGAGCTGACGCTCCCGCTTTTTGTCTTCTGGCGGGCGAGGCTTCATCTGTCCATCCTGGACTCACCTGTCTGTCTCTGGAAGCACCTGGATTCAGGCGAGCTGCCTCGGGAGCGATTAGCTGCACCATTAGGAATGAACAGTGGCTCACATCGCAGCTGAACTTCAGACGACAGGATCTGGAGTCTTATTTCCTGAATTTTTGGACATCTCTCCTCTGATTGGCCAACAACAAAGCGACTCTACCATTGACTCTGTTTGCCTTGCAACACTGATGTTGTACCTCAACAAATAACACAAGCCTGGAGGAGTTCTGCCATGTGGTGAAGTTGCTAATGCTAACAGTTAGCTTATACTAGCCTGGGTGTTCTCTGCTGTTCCCTCAACGCTTAACGAACAACATCCTTCCCCGTCGTGAGTCAAGACGGGCGAGTCCATGAATGTTAAGTGACAGTGTGACGTAGATCTGTCATGATTATCAAATCCTAGAGCCGGGGTATTCAATTCCAGGCCTGGAGGGCCGGTATCCTAGCCTGGCAAGCCAGACTAAATAAATGCATTATTTAGTCTGGCCATGCTCCATTGACGGCTCTCGGTTGTGGGGCGGGTTCTACCGTTGTCTTTCAAATGATCTCTGCATTCCACTGGACAAAGAATGTGACATACTCTTGTTTCACTCTGTTGCATCATCCCACCCACCAGGCATATAGAGTGCCCTGATTGGTCCACAAAGCGGATAAAGCTCTGTGATTTGTTCACTAAGCAGATAGAGCACTATGATTGGCCCACCGTTATGGACCAATCACAGCACTTTATGTGTTTGGTCTAGTTCACTAGGCTACTGGTATCCAGCACGTTTTAGTGCTTTCTCTGCTCCAACACACTTGATTCAGTGGTTAAATCACGTGTGCAGCAGCTCATCAGGTTCTGCAGAAGCCTATTCAGGTGTGTTGAAACAGAGTTGAACTAAAACGTGCTGGATACCGGCCCTCCAGGCCCGGAACCGGACATCCCTGTACGAGTTTCACCATGTTTTCTACCAGAAGCTAATGCAGGAGATAAGTGTAGGAGACTATTTTCATGTTCAACCTGCATGAAAACATGCAGAGTGACTGATTATAATCAGAAAAATTCATTAAAAATGTTTTTCAGTGCCCCACACCTTTAATAGTGTTTGATGTAAACAGGAAATGATGGGGGCAGAAATGGCAGCACGAGTGTAAGCGAGCGCATGTCTCACTCCTGCTCAGAGCGACAGCTGGGTGGCGATTCTGTCATCAGTTAGTGAAGGTAAACATTTACAGGTAACAGTCTTTACCTTAGAGTGGAGTTTGGCGATCTGTTTCTCATCGACGTTGGACTGCCGGTAGACTCGACTCTTGTAGCGAAACTGTTGAGAAACAGACAAAAAGTTAAGCATGCATCTGAACTCTACTGAGATGACTCTGCGTGTCTGGATCAACGGTTCTGGTCTAATTCAATAATCAGACTGAAACGTTTTATCTCCAAAAGTCTTTAACGCTTCATAAACTTTGGTTGGAAGCTTTTTTTTCCACACAGACGGATGTAAAAGATGCCCAGAGCAGATATCTGTAACAGGAAATGATACGGGCCTGTCGGCGATCAAACACAGCAACAAAATAAACGTCTTTGGCTCATAAATATAAACAGTTTCTTACAATCAGTTTAAAAAGATTCAAGCACCTGATGCTTAAATCTCACACAGGCGGCGGAAACAAGATTCAAGCCCATCGTCGTCTAAAACTAGAACAGAAAACATAAGAACGCTTGGTTTTCGTTGACATTTCATTTTAGACATAACTATTATATTCTCATCTATCAGAGCCTCATTAGTGAGGAAACTGGTAAACTCACCAGATTGTCTCTTCCAAGCAGCAGATTCTGTTCCTGACTCAGTTCTGGAGGTCCAGTGCTGGACCTGGCCGCTTTGGGACCAGGCCGCTGCCACGGGTTCCTCCTCTGAGCTGGTGGCCAGAAGGAGGAGGAACCAGGAGGCTCCTGTTTGTTACCCTAATGCAGGGCTATTCAAGTTCGGGCCTCGAGGGCCGGTATCCAGCACGTTTTAGTGGTTTCTCTGCTCCAACACACTTGATTCAGTGGTTGAGTCACCTGTGCAGAAGCTCATCAGACCCGCTGATTGAAGTCAGGTGTGCTGAAGCAGGGTTAAAACAAAAACGAGCCCTCGAGGCCCATAATTGAGTAGGCCTGCCCTGATGGATTCATGTTGTGTTTCTTTTTCATCTGATCTAACGAACGGCACCAAAAGTGAGTCAGCAACAGAATCAGCTGATTACCAACATCACAAAGGCCCAATTCAAGAACTTACAAGGTGGTTTTCCAGAGCCGCTCACACAGAGAACGAATAAATGAATGATTAATTAATATAAAAATTAATTATCATCAATTAAATTAAACAAATCTCTCATACAACTACATTGATGAAAAATAAATGAATTAAATAAATAGGAATAGGAATCCAGGGTCGAGGTCATTATGTCATCAACAGCAAAAACCTCTGAACTTTAAAGAGCAAGTCACCCCCAAATAAACTTTTTTTTGCTGATAAACTAAATAAACGACTGTCTAATCGTGCTGCAGACACGTGTCGTCAATAATTTGGCACTTCAGTGCATCTTAGTTAAAATTTAAATATTCTGCCTAAAACTGGCAGTGTTGTGCCGTTGTCAGGTAAAAACTCTGCACTGTATTTTAATTTAAATCTGCCACCGCTATTGGCTAAGAAGTATGCTATGATGTAAACTGGTACATTATGATGTCACAATGCTGTCGTGAAACTGAGTGTGTGTGTATTTGTTAGCAGCTCCGCCCCCTCGGTCTGCCAGGCAACAGCATTTGTTGCATTTTTCAAACATGAAGTGGGAGTGGAGTTAGACTCTGGTAGGGGTTGACTTGCTCTTTAAAAAATGATTTCATGTTATTCAGTAACCATAGTAACAAACACTTGTCTATGGGTTAAAACATTTTATTGTTATTATTATTATTATTTTACATCTTATTAACAAAAACAAAACACATTTTCATTGTAAAAATAACTAATTTCACTTATTTATGGACTAAAATTTCCTAAAGCTCTAACTGAATGAGCTCCACCGTGAATAAAGATGCTGCTGCAGATTAGGGTTAGGGTTAGAGAAGCTGGCTGAACTCTGAAGGACAGTATCAAATATCATCTAGTAGGCTTTTTAAAATCTCGGTTATCAAGAACATCTTGCTCAGAGTCGCTGGGAGAGATAAAGAAAAGAGAGGGTCGATACGATTGATGTGAAGCTCTGTGGAAACGAACATTTCTGATTGGCGCACAGCGAGTGGAGCGCAGACGTGCATCTGAGGCTGTAAATGTTTCAAACAAGTCGGGAAATCCAGGATGTTTTAGAAAACAGCTGTGATGCTCTCCACGTGTCAGAAAGACTTGTTCAGCTTTTCTCCAGAACAAGCAGAAAACACAGCATAACTACAATGTTGTCAACATCAACTTTAAGCACTTTTTAGAATCTTTCTTTGGTTATGATTAAACTTCTTCCTGTTTCTGCACTAAAACCTTTAATTAAGCTGCAGAATGACCTGAAAATGAAGGAAATGAACATTTTAAGTAACTTTTTACAAGATTTTAAGGCAGAGATGTGCAGCCGTAGACGTGCTTCTGACGTTGATTATAAACATTCTCCTTTTCAGTTTCAAGCATTCGTAAGGATCCTGAGAACAGGTTAAGGATGGAGGAACTTTCTGCAAAAGCATTTTAAATTACAACCAGGTAGTTTCACTTCTGATTACTGAGATTAGAAATCAGATTAATCTGAGTGACGGAGACCAACGCAGCAAACATAAGATTAACAGGAAGTTATTAATCCAATTTTCATGTTTCACTTATTCATCAGCAACAATCAGGCTTTCATCCATCTGAACTTAAGTCTTGTTTTTTCTGCACTGTAGCGCTTTCAGATTTAGTGTCACATTTAAAGGGTGTTGTGAATAAAAATTATTATTATTATTATTTATTATAAGCATAAATCAAATACAACTTTTACTACTACCGCCACTAATAATAAATAATGAAATAATGAAAGGCAAAAAAGCCTCATTAAAAAACAGTTTACCTCTAAACACGGGACGCCTTTGCTGATTGGCTGGGGATACTCTCGAAGGAGGCGCTCTTCGTCCAGGAACTTGCCGTCCCTCCCATTGTTCGCTGGCTGGAACAGCCCGTAGTTCAGGACATCCTTCAGGGTCTGATTTAACGTACACAGGATCCGCTGTTTGGCGACCCAGACGGTTGCATCCGGGTTGAACCGCATACATTTCTGTTCGGATTAAACGGGAGAGGGGTGAACAGATTAGGAGGAGGTGACTCAGCAGCAAGATCCTGGTTTCAGGCTGATGTTCTAAAAACTGTTTCCCAATCAAAGCAACTCAGATGTCCAAATGAGTGATTAAATACGTCCAACCTGGCTCTCCACACACCCTTGTGGTCCCCCTCAGCTCAGCCAAGCTGCCTTTATTCAAACAATAAGCTAAACACGGTCAATTTGCACACTGAGGATGTAATGGACACAACCTCTCTGGCCTTCACGGCTCCCAGCTCCAGCAGCCCAGAAGTGAAAACACAAACCAACAATGCCGGGTTATTGGCTGGTTTGAGTCCGAGAGGATTACGGATGTGCTGCTGCAGCATTCAGGAGGCATCTGAGTGTTTACAGCTGGATGTTCTGCTCAGCGGGTGATAGCAGCGTCTATCAGCGTCCGAAGGGATGAGCAGTCTGAACTCCGCCTCACTAATCCCCTCGCTTGGCGTGGAGCGGGGCGCATGGAAGGAGAGAACGGGAAGAAGAATAGGAGCAGAGCAGATGTCTGGCATCTGATGGGGCCGTTTAGCCTGACAGGACCAACAGTCGGTCCAACTGGTTATTACAGCGGCAAATTTCCATCTGCTCCTATAACAGGCCCAGCCCTCGACCACAGCTCAATCTGAATCACGTTGGAACCGTTTATTACCAAGTACAGAGGTGGTGATGGCGTGGGGGTTCACAAAAACAATGCCCTAAACGGGCCGAAACTCAAGAACCCGTCTGAGCCGCAGAGATCTGGAAACACAAGAGCGAACCGATGTGATGTTTGGATAAAGCCTCACAAATTAAACCCTCTGGGAAAAAGTAAAAAGCCTTCACTTCTGATGAGAAGCTCCTCAACAGCCGGCTCTGATCAGTAACCAAGAAGAAAGCACAGAGTGGGTTTTAATCTTGGTTCTGGTTGAAAGGACACAGCTAGTGTCCAAAGTCCCAGCATCAGCATAAAGCCAAACGTGCACATTTGATCAGGAAATATGTAAAAAGTGTAGAAAGAAGAAAGATAAACAGAAATGTTAAAGATGCAACCAGTGTCTCATCAGTGTCACCATGGTAACAGGTTGCATGCCCCTCCATCCTCCCTGACAGGAAGCCTAAGGCAAACAGCTGCAGGTGAAAACTAAAAAAGTAGTTGATCTGTGAGCAGCAGAAACTCTGACTGTCCCACTGGGGGGACGCTGATGTTTCGACTGGGTTTGATGGAGATGTGAGCAGCTTTTTCTAAATATGCAGAAAGTGGCAACGAGTCAGAAGTCATAGCAGAATCACAAACGGGTTGGTAATAATGGTCAGGGTGAAACATTTTATTCGTTCATCTATAATGGGCTCGACACACGGGAGGTGACATCGCCTCTCCTCCGTTCATTTTCAATGAGACATCAGACATGACAAAGCGATAATCGCGGGTCTCCCTCCTACCAAGCGAAACGCGAAAACGTGCATGTGAAATTTTGCGCTAGTGCACTTGTCGTGCACAGGCGACCCAGCGATGCCATCCCAGAAAGTTGAAATATTTTCAACTTTTCATCGCTGTCGCTCGGACGAGGACCTATTCAACGGAGGTTTCATTCACTGACCAATGAGCGGACAGGATGCTCCGTACATCTCCGAGCAAACATGAAGGAGAAGTTGATTATTATTATGTTTATATAGTAAAATCATTTCACATAACTCTAGCGGCATCTTGTGAAACATCATATCTACCACTTTTTTTAACTCTGAACAGCTTAAATAACCTTAATCCCCTCCAACCTGACACAGCCAAACAAAACAACGGAAGTTTCAGTTTCGCCATGGAACAGAACGCGTAGACGGCTTTGCCGCTGGCCGCCTCCGCGGATCACCTCCCGTGTGTCAGGTAATAAAAGTGATAGTGACGAATTTCGCTGATCGTGGTCGTTTGTCGCCTCCCGTGTGTCGAGCCCCTAAGAAAAATGGAACCATGATAAGTGAGAGTCGTAACAAACAAAAACAAACAAAGGACAAACTGATTGGTGTCTCTGTGATTTTTAGACTAGAAAAGCTTCAAGCATCATTTGAACATCTTTACTGTTTATTTTGGATCAATTCAGACTTTCTCCCACAATCCTCCAAAGTCTGTGGGACTGGGCCGAAACCAGGACCTCTACAGGTCTGGTGGTGTGTAAAAGGACTAATATCAGTTCTGGTTAAACTTGAGTATTTAATCGTTTAAAGGAGCTCAAACTAACGTGTTCACATCTGCAGCCGGAGGCTAAACTCTCATCTAGAATCTGAATAACTCAGCCGATTTCCAAACGGCCCACGGGATCCAATCATGTGACCAAGTGGTTCTGTTCAGAGGTCTGAAGCATTAGTGCTTACAAGTGAAAGAGCTCAGAGCACATGTGGACTCACACCAACACGCCGTACTAATTACAGCCGAGTGCACGGGTTCATCTCCGGGTCAGAACACCAGAGCCGCTCCGCTCCTTTGTTCTCGTTCTGCTCATAACTGAAAGTTTCAAAGTGCATTTTTCTGAGAGTGCTGAGAGGCAGCCGCTAATGTCAGAACCTCTCTGTTCTGTTCTCACGTCGGTGTCACTGGGACACAACAAGAGTGAAAAGATGTGAGACGGAAAAGAGCATCCATGTGGAAAATCCTAACGGACAAACCAGAGTCCGGATAAAGGAGAGGAGGCTGCAGGTGCAAAGTAACACCAGGAACACGCCTCCGTCCCCGAGGACCAGAAGACATCAGAACCCGTCCAACAAGCGCTGCATTAGCCTGGATCAAACCAGCAGGCTGCTCCATGATGGTCGACCTGCATCAGGGTGTGTGGGGGGTGGGGTGTGTATAAAACCCAAAAAGGAACCCAAAACGCAGAACGCTGGCAGCTGTTCATTTTTTTTTGCTCAACGATTATACAAACCTTTATTTACTCTACATCATTATATTCAGCATCATCAACATCAGGTCATCATTCAGCATCATTTCATCGACAATCATATTCATCATCATCAGCTTTCAGCATCATCCCCATCTTTATCATCATCATCCCCATCTTTATCATCATCAACAGCATCACCACCATCATCATCTTCATCACCATTACCACCATCATCTTCATCGACAATCATTTTCACCATCATCATCATCATCTTTATCATCACCACCACCATCATCTCATCACCATCATCATCATCATCATCATCATCACATTATTTCATCATCATCACACAATATCTTCATCATCATCATCATCAGCATCACAATCATCATTATCTTCAGATCACCACATCTTTATAATGTTTATCATCATTACATCATCATTCATCATCATCATAATTATCTTTATCATCGATCACCATCATCTTCATCAGCAATCATATTATGCATCATCATCACCATCTTATCATCACCATCATCACCATCATCATCACCATCATCATCATCATCATCATCATCATCACCATCAATCATCATCATCATCATCATCATCATCATCCATCTTATCATCATCATCCATCTATCATCATCATCCCCATCTTTATCATCATCATCCCATCTTATCATCATCATCATCACATCATCTTGATCATCATCATCACCCATCTTCTTATCATCATCAATCATCACCACCATCATCATCTCATCACATCATTCCCCATCTTTATCATCATCATCCCCAGCTTTATCATCATCATCCCCATCTTTATCATCATCATCCCCATCTTTATCATCATCATCCCCATCTTTATCATCATCAACGCATCACACATCATCATCTTCATCACAATCTTTTCATCCATCATCATCATCATCTTCATCATCATCTTATCATCATCATCATCTTCGATCATCATCATCCATCTTATCATCACATCTTACCATCATCAACCATCACCACATCATCACTTCATCATCAATCATTTTCATCATCATCACACATCATCATCTTCATCATCACCACCACTATCATCACCATCATCATCATAATCATCATCACACATCTTATTTCATCATCATCACATCATCTTCATCATCATCTTCAGCTCATCAATCTATAATTATCTTCAGTACAATCATCATCATCATCTTCATCGACATCTATCATCATCACCATCATCATCATCACAATCATTCAGCATCATCATCATCATCATCATCATCACCATCACATCCATCATCATCATCATCATCATCATCATCATCATCATCATCAAGCATCATCATCATCAATCATCATCATCATCAACATCATCGATCATCACATCATCATCATCATCATCATCCAACTTATCACATCATCTGCATCATCATCTTCATCATGATCATCACCATACTCATGATCATCATCAACAATCATATCACCATCTATCATCATCATCATCACCATCTTTATCATCATCATCATCGATCAATCATCATCATCATCATCATCAATCTTATATCGATGCATCGAGATGTGCTTGATCATCATCATCAGCTCATCTTCATCATCACATCATCACATCATCATCATCATCTTATCATCACCACCACCATCATCTTCATCACAATCATTCCATCATCATCATCATCTTCATCATCACCACAATATTCACATCATCATCCATCATCATCATCATCATCTTCAGATCATCAGCATCCACAATATTATCACCATCATCATCACACTGATATCATCTTACATCTGTGGATCATCATCATCGATCTGATCTTCATCATCTTATCTTCATAAGGATATTATCGATCTTAGTCATCATCATCATCATCAGGCTTCATATCTTAGCTTATCATCATCATCATCATCTTCATCATCTATACATCATCATCATCAGCATCTATCGATGCATCATCATCATCATATCGATCCATCATCATCACATCATGCATCATGCAATACCATCATCATCAGCATTATCATCAATCATCATCATCATCATCATCATCATCATCATCCATCATCAGCATCATCATCAGCATCATATCATCATCATCATCATAATCATCATC